CAATGAAAAGAGAACTATCTATGCAGTGAAACACAAAGGAAGTTCATTATGTGGGAAAGTTTTGTTTTAATGAACAGGTCTCTTAAACATATAAGCGTAAACACATACACATAAACAGGGATTTTAAATAACTTAACTCCCCATTTATTTATTTTTATTTTTTGCTAAAAATATTGTAAACAAGTTGCTGACAAAAGCATTTTGTTTTTGCCAAAAGCTTATTATTAAAACATTTTAATCTTGTGGTTTTTGTTGCTTTTACTATATTTCCATAAATAGTCCAAATTTCAACCTTAAACATTTAAATGTGGCAACATTACTCAGAATTAAGATTTCAGGTGCACAGAACATGATGTGCAACAACATAAACACGTTTCCACCATTAAAACAACTTTCAGCGTGAACTTTTAACTCTTTAATTTTGCATCACATAATTATTCCAGCACAAATAGTATTCTTTTCAGACGTTCTGCAGTTTTTGCACTTTCACAGTAAAATTCAAAGTAAATAACGATGCAGTGCGAAACTGACACCATAAATATGTGGGGGAAAAAAACTTGTTTTCAGACAACGTAAGCAGTCCATTTTCAGCTTGCTCTGTGTAGCTTATCAGTTTTGTCAGAATTAGTTTATCCATCCATTATCTATACTCACTTCTTCCTTTCAGGGTCACTGGTGCCCATATCCAGCAGTCACTGTGCAAGAGGCGGGTACACCCTGGACAGGTCGCAAGTCCATCACAGGACCACACATAGAGACAACCAACCATTCACTCTCTCACTCACACCTACAGTTTTGTCATGTTTTTGGAAGGAAGCTGGAGTGCCCGGAGAGAACCCACACATGCCCGAAGAGAACTTTCAAACTCTACCCAGAAAGGTCCCCGGGTCAGGATTTGATCCGGCCACCTTCAGCTCTACCAACTGAGTCACCGTGCCACTCCCAGAATTAGTTTATCCATCCATTATCTATACTCACTTCTTCCTTTCAGGGTCACTGGTGCCCATATCCAGCAGTCACTGTGCAAGAGGCGGGTACACCCTGGACAGGTCGCAAGTCCATCACAGGACCACACATAGAGACAACCAACCATTCACTCTCTCACTCACACCTACAGTTTTGTCATGTTTTTGGTCTGTGGAAGGAAGCTGGAGTGCCCGGAGAGAACCCACACATGCCCGAAGAGAACTTTCAAACTCTACCCAGAAAGGTCCCCGGGTCAGGATTTGATCCGGCCACCTTCAGCTCTACCAACTGAGTCACCGTGCCACTCCCAGAATTAGTTTATTTCTATAAAAATAATAATAATAAAGTCCCAAAAAGTGATCTACAACAGGTAAGATATTAACTATCCTTTTAAGCATCCCTTTGAGCTGTAGTAGAGATATATCCAGGGGTTGGTGCAGCTGTTGAGACTTGCCAGCAGCATGATTATTGAAAATATTGGGCCTGGAAGACAGAGAAAGAAGAGATTTGTGACCAAACTCACCATCTAACAGAGACAGTTGTTTTGAGTTGGGGACACATTGGACCACTTGGACCCACCTTGTGTTGGAGCGCTGTCAGGGCTCCATGCAGACCACAGCTGCACAACRAAGAACGGGCTCCAGCACACGGTGTAAGCCATAATTATAACAAAAGTCATCTTCACGGTCTTCAGCATGGCGTTGGAGACCCCCTTGGCGCCCGCGCGCCCCGACTGCAGAGCCTTCCTCTTCATGTTGAAGTAGATGGTTGTGCAGATTCTCATCTGGCAGTAGAGCAGGATGACGGCGGGCAGCGCGAACACGGACAGGGTGATCCAGCTGATGTAGACCCTGCTCCCCCACGGCTCGATGAACGTGGCCCAGCAGTCCAGCTGCCTCTCCTCGACCTCCCGCAGAGAGAAGATGAAGAGCTGCGGACAGCTGAAGAGCAGCGAGATGAGCCACGCCGCGCCGATGGAGAGGTACCTCCTGAACGAGCCCCCCAGGAAGGACACCATGGGCGTGCAGACCGCGTGGTACCGGTCTATGGCCATGGCCACGATCATGTAGGCGGAGGCGAACATGCCGACCACCTGCAGGTACTTCACGGAGCGGCACAGGAAGTCCGTGCCTCGGAACCGGTGCGTAATTTCCATGGAGAGCTGCGGCAGGACCTGGAAGAAGGCGACCACCAGGTCCGCCAGGCACAGGTGCAGGAGGAACAGCTGGGTCCTCGTGTTCCTCTTCCTCCTCCTCCACAGGGTGCCCAGGAAGAAGAAGTTGCCGCAAGTTGCGAGCGCAAAAACCAACGCCAGGACTGCGGCTCTGAGGTGCGCCAAACGCGCGGATTCGTCTTCGCCATCCGCTGCCTTTCCCGGAGCCCTGCTGGCTTCCATGTAGGCGCCAGTCCGACTTGATTTATTTTCTCTTTAAAGCCTAACCTGAATGAACACCCCTCAGCAATATCCACATGTTTTTGTATCGTGTTGTAGTGTATTTGACCCGCGCTCTCCTGTGAGCGCGCGCCACTCTGTGAGGGGCGGAAGCGTAGAGGGGGAGTCAAAGCAAACAAAAAGAGCAACTGAAATATATTTTATACATTTTAGATAACAAACCATTTTAAATATAACGTGAAGGGGCGCGTGTTGCCTGCTGCTTTTCATTATAAAATCTTAATCATTTTGGTCCTTTAAGGATATTCTCATAATGTCACCACATCAAATGTTAGCTCATAAATTCGTTATTTTTTAAACTTATTTTACCAGGCAAAACACTAAGAATAACTTCTTATTTACAATCTCAGCCTGGCAGGCGGGTACCGAGACAGGAAAAAGTGAAGGAGAAACAAAAAAACATCACAAATAACACATCAGATGAAAATACAAAATGAATAAAAACAAAACATATAACTTAAAAAACAGTACAAAGCATACTTAATATCATAAAACATTGACAGGTTAGTGATAAAGTAAGGTTGATTTGAACTGAAGTGACTGTAATTTCAGATCATTTTTGCAGGTTATTCCATGTTGCATCACAGCTTATATGAAATCCAGAGTGAGATCAGAATAATGTAAGAATGTTTTCCTCGCTCTGTCTTTGAGCGACAGCCTGTTCATTTTATTCCTTTAAAGGAATGACTGAGTCAGAATGTGTTGGATTAATACTGGACGTTTTGTGCAGGCTCTCTTATTTGCACTTGGAGGTTTAAAGTTCTGATGTTCAGATAGAAGAGAGCGTGACTGAAAAAAGAGTGAAAGGAGCAGTTATTCTGTCCAAATGTCAAACACTAAAAGTTCACAAAAAATGATTAAAACCAGAATATTCTTTAAAAAATGGAATGGACTTTGCAGGTGTTTTTTTTTAAAGATTTGGGTTATTATGGAAGAGCTGCTAATCTAATAATTGCTTTTCTTCTCACAAGTCAGCTTTTAAAGATGCACTTTTAATTTTCAGTCACATTAAAAGACTGTAGGGGTCACCCTGGTGAAAAAAAACTTTTCTATTGTTTATTTTCTTTGTCTTTGATTTTATATTTTTACACTTATAAGAAGAAAATCATTTTAAAGTGTTTTTATTTTCTTTAAGTGAATAGGACAAAGT